TCATGTTGACAAATGTATAAAGGTATGAATGAGAATGAATATCTTCACAATACATGAGATGTATTTGACCGGTTTCGAATATATCTTCGTCAGAAATACATACACATATTCGAAACCGGTCAAATACATCTTCGACGCAGTGGTTATCGTTTAATTGGACCAAAAATCGGCGTCGAGTCTCCATCGCTATACAATTCCTCGTGTATCTTCCAATAAGGACGGACTGCTTCTGTTATTCTATATGGTTCTGGGGAATCCTCCTGGAGTAGTTTATGGAATGTGATTCCTCTTGGTCTGCTCTCAGCAGGTGCTCTAATGCCAAATCTCTGTGTTCCCTGTCTGGCTTGTAATGTGACAGAAAGCAAAAGGTATCGATGCCGTTAGTTGTAGTCTCACCTTCTTGTGTTGAACGACCGATTGGGACAATGCACCTGGAATACGTATTCCCTTGCCATAGCGCCAAGTAATCGTGAAAATTGTATCGCGCGACATTCCTCAGTCGCCGGAGATGTGGATTTACTGGGTAAGAGGCGAGTGGTCCTAACTGAAGTGCTGAAATCCCAGTTAAGCATAATTTGCGCTTCATCGCCCAGACAACTGCCAACGGCTCTTATTCAGTGGTTGCAGAGCATTGCCTTACAATCTGGAAGCATCTGTCTGCAGATAGTGGGCGAGGCAGGGTTGAATGTAGTAAGCATTTTAGGACAAGATAAGCCATGCATTTCTTTTTTAAATGGCTGTTCGCAGTCAGTTGGCCAGACAAATTGCCTCTTGGGGCTCGTGAGGGGACGCAAAGCTGCTGCTGACGGTGTATGATAATACACAGAGAATAATGTAATGACTCCCCAATAGAAGAATTGATAACAATATGTGTACCTTTCAAAAGCGCGTTTTCCTCAATATATTTTCTTGTATACTTCGGAAATTGTTAAGGGTAAACTATGCTATAATCACGTACTCTCTATATAAATTCATTATCGCTATTAGACTCGTAGCAAATAGAGAAGATAACCTTATTGGCAATTGATACTGGATTTTTTTAATCTAATCTTTTTTTTTTTATCTTTGTCTATATATATTCGTCCATTTATCAATTCATATTTTATTATTAATATTACTGAGACTGAGAGGCCTCGAGTACATTGATAGTAATGAAAAATATTTTTGCTAGTATTGCTACCACTGATATCAATATTACTATAACGAGAACATTAAGGATATACTGTCACGGGTTAGAACAAATTGCTTTCCCCAAAGAGCAATAGGCGGTAAAATGTGATACTTGGCGATTAATTAAAGTTTCCAAGTGTCAAATTGTGCATTAGTAGAAATGTCGTATCTGAAAAAAATTCTGTGAAAAATGTAGGTTCAGATTATAAGCCTACTTATTTTCTGAAATGAAAAGTTCAAAATTGTTTGGTGCGCGAGTAACTGCTTTTCAATAAAACGACATCAAATGAATACCTTCTGTGACATGACATGACGCCACATTCATATACCCTAGCCTGCCTCGCTGAATGTCTCAACTACAGAGCGGGATTGGTATTAAAGTGACTCTCCGTGGATAAACATCGTCCCAGAAAAGACCATAGTGTCTGCAGCAAGGCTATCAATCCGGGGACCACAGGGTACTGGTTCTGGGGCGCCATGGAGCAATATGAAAATTATGACGTCGAATGAAACTCAAATTCATCTTACCTTCAGTACCTACATATAATCATCTTTCACATATCAATGAATTGAAAACTTTCCATAAAGTTTTCTTGCCATATAGCTACTGATTCCATTACACTATTCATAACTAGTAATGTATGAATCTGAAAAGATGAGTCACTGAACGAAGTCATGAAGATTATCATGTATTGGTCGGAGGAACAGCGTGAAAAAGTCTGGGAACCACTGGGCAGCAGTAACCTCCTGGATGAACTACGCGTCGAAGAGAGTCGTAAGTTTTATTAACGTTATCGCATATACTGTAGATTGGAAAAAAGAAGAAAGAACACTCTAAATTTGAATAATTATCGTAAAGTATGCAATCGTGCGAGCTACCCTGATACCCCATATTTCAACAGAAATAGAAAATCTGACAAAATTCTTTCCGACAGCATATGCCGCTATTTTGCACATTATCAGTAATGTGCAAAATACGAAATCATGGACTGATAAAAACTAAAGTTTGATGGAAGCAAATATTATAACTGAAACTGAATAAAATATTAGTAATTGGCGATCTTGACAAAACCTCTTTTGCATATCGGAGTGGGTGTGTTTCCATTCCTTGATCAAATGACCGTTTGTCTGGATAATCTTAAAAGTATTAGTGAGACCATTTTTATTTCTAATATAAATTTCTTATTTCTACACTACAACTGTACCTAACATGATGTAATAAGCACCGTTTAGACATCAAGTAAGAAGCTTCTTAGTAATTATACCAGTTTTTTTTCGAGATCATCTTTCCCCCTCTATCTGGGACGAAAGAGCGACACAGCGGTGCTCCCCAAGACACGGATTTTCATCTCGCTTCCCTTCACAGCTACGGAAGTATCCCGCTCTGTGAAAGGATCCCTGGGCGGAATAGACTAGTGTGACCACCCCTTAACCTAGCGCCATGTAGCTCCAGTTACTCCAAAAGTCAATCGATTACTGAAATTATTACTGATTTTTTTTCTTTTTAGCCCACAAAATATGCAACACTTCCTCTAGTTTGTAAATCAATAGCTTCATTTTTTAAAGTCATTTGCAAAAAAAAGTTTCGAGAAATGCAGTGTAAGTATTTAGTAACTTGTTTTAGATTTGCATGTGCCTTGCACCGCTTGTTTACTCTGATATTTGCCAATCATCTTATCCACCCAATTGCAAATGTCAATCAATTCCCCCGCGAACTAAAAAAAAAAAAAATAAAAAAAAAATTATATTTTGGGTGAAATGGGAGAGAACGTCCCCATTTTGAATTTGGTACTGATGGCTTCCTCTCACCCTAGTACACATATACGTAGCAATTATGCCGCGGACTCCCCCTACCCCCACCCCCAACCCCACACATTTGACCTCGATAGCAGGGAGGGGGGGGGGGTGGAACGTACTGTACCAAGGAAACTTTGGGGTAAAATATGGATGATATACACAGAAACAGTCATAGAATAAGAGAGGCAACAGAAATATTGAGAAGGGTCTTACTAATAGTACCATACATGCTATAATACTAATGAGACTGACTGACTGATGCTAGTTCTAATACTAATGATGATACGATCAGTGATAGTTATACTAACACTAATTGTAATACTAATATTGATAATAGTAATGACGATGATAACAATGATAGTGATGGTAGTGATAAATGTAATAATAGTAATGATGATAATGATAAATGTAATAATAGTAATGATGATAATGATAATTATTTATATGATAGTGATGACAATAATAGTTATTATTATAATAATAATAACAATAAGGACAATAATAATGGAAATGATAATGACGGTGATAATAATAATGATAGAAATGATAATATGATTTCTCATAATAATAATGATAATAACCATCATCATCATAATAATACTGATAACGATAATAAAAAATAATGATGATAATGATAACGGTAATAATAATAATAATAATAATAATAATAATAAAAACAATCATAAGGATGATAATAGTAACAACGATAATGATGATGATGATGATGATGATGATGATGATGATGATGATAATAATGATAATAATAATAATAATAGCAAGGACAATAAATGAAAGCAATAATGCTGACTGATAAAATAATATTAATGATATTGATAATGATAATGTGCGTGTAGGCGTGTATATGTGCGTGTGCTTGTGTGTGTGCGTGTGCTTGTGTGTGTGTGTGTGTGTGTGTGTGTGTGTGTGTGTGTGTGTGTGTGTGTGTGTGTGTGTGTGTGTGTGTGTGTGTGTGTGTGTGTGTGTGTGTGTGTGTGTGTGTGTGTGTGTGTGTGTGTGTGTGTGTGTGTGTGTGTGTGTGTGTTTCTATACGTGTCAGTAAATGTAAATTTATGCATACAAATAATTATTACATGGACAAATTCAGATTCAAACAAAATAATTGAAATACTTGAGTGTCCCCCTTCATAAATATGTCATTACCAAAGAAAACGTACTATCAGAAATAATCATGGAGATAACCAACATGTAACTTATACGCCTATTCTCTATTATCTTATCATCTATAAATTATTTATCATCATTATGAGGGCTACTCATTTTAATCGATAGATAATATGAACAAAATACAAAAATCAGAACTTGTTAAATACATGTCAGATATGAGTTTATCTACACACGCACTATAAAAAGAACAGAAGAAAAATATATCTAAATCAATTTCCTAGCTTATAAAGCGTATATATGAAGCACAGAATTGTATAATTGAATTAAGAAGTAGAGAGAGATGGAAAATGGCACCTTTACCTGCAATATATCCGAATCGCCTACCGAGATTGTGACATTTTCCCAGAAAATCCTTTAGATATCAAATAAGCCATGATAGAAGCCCTATAACATTAATTTTAAAATTAATTAACAATAAAAAAGGAAGAAATATAACTCATAGAATCAAGACTAAAATGAAATAAAAGAATATGTGTAAAAAGATAAAAAACAAATAGCTAACTGATTCGGACAGTTGTTGTGGTTCTGCAGACGACGCATCAGATCGAAGACCAATTTCTCAGATTCCATTTTTCTTTCACAAATTTCTATGTAAACAAGGAAGGTTAGTCTCTCTCTCTAACTTTGAGAGATAGTTATGATCATTTAACTTAATTGTGATGTATTTTTACTTGTTAATTTTAAGTGTCAAGTGCGTATAATGAGAGAACAGTGTGAATTTCAGGCAAATGTTTTGGTTTGATTGACATGTAAACAAAGGAAAGTGTTTTTACTGTATTTTTGGTAGGCATTGTTTCGAAATAGAGTGTTTGCGGGTGTGCTTTTGTTTATAGGTAAGACTCAATACAGAGGAAGTTGCAGTTATAGCTAAAATGTCCCCTCTTTATCACTGATGAAACTGGATCGGTCAGAGTCGCTAGTTTTATTCAGTATTAACCTTCATAGTTAGCAGGACAAGGTAATTGTGGTATAAAACGGGATATAAACAAAAAGAGCATTTTAGAAAAACAGTTATTAAGTATAACACCAAACATGCATGCAGTAGCAAAAGGGTATGTAAGGATGTTTACCCATAAACAGGTTTACAAACATCCCCTATGTTTTATTCTTTCTTGGCTACTCACTCATATATTAGTAGACAAAGTTGGAATTATCCTTTATATAATCATTCATGGGAGATATATCTAATGTCTGGATATAAATCTGCATTGTTTTTATGCAAGTGATTTGAAGGTGATTATACACTATAATAGGCCTGGGCTACAGGCAGGATTGGAGATATTTTAGTTTTTATAGTTTTTATTGGATTACATTGAGACACTTTTCCTGGTCATGTATACTATAGAGTAATGTTGATACTTGTAGTCAAGATCATGGAGATAAAATGAAATGTAAATTTAGATTAGGATTTTTCATTTAGAAATAACCTTTGGTATGCCAATATTTTCTCTAAGATAAAGAGACAAGCCTCTTTGTTATATGCCTACATTATACCTGTTATATAGTTGAAATACATAATTCAACTATATAACTAATTTATAAATTACATTTATATTTTACCCATTCCTACTGAGTTGTGCCCTGTCATGTCACTTTTTCACCAATGTCAGGTGATGTCTAATCACATAATGAGCCCGTTTCCTGGAGCTCTGGTGATACTTTACAAGCTTGGCCATGAGCTGGACAAAAGCACAGATGCAGAGCAACACTTGCTCATGCGTCATGGCATTGCCAAGATTTGTCCCAATTTTGACATGTGAATAAGTTGATATGCATGGTATAGTATAAAGGCCAAAATTGTTACTCTTATATGAAACAGCACAAAACAAAATAACAGAATAACTAACACAATTACTTGATTTTCAGAGATGGTGTCATTTGCCAAATACAGCTTGGTGCCCACAGAGGAACCGAAGGAAAATGTTGCCCCGCCTCCCCCACCCCAGAGCTCTGGGGCCTTCGACTACAACTCAGCGTTCAGTTACAAATCTGCATTTGACTACGGTAGCAAAACCACCAGTCAGTACCAGTCTGCATTCGACTATGGCTATGGTCAGAGGGGACATTCTGTTTCCCTCAGTCTGGGGGAAAAGGGTTTGTAGAGGCATTGATTCACCTTGAGTGTTCTTCTTATTGCATTTTTGAAACTTGCATCGCTAGACTTGGAGTTGGGCAGATAAAAGATAAAATTTTATAAAAGGACCAATGGGTAGCATATCGGTTGATTGCAATGGAGTAATGTCCGTAGTTTGTGTTCTGTGCCCTTTCACTGGTTGGATCTTTAGCCTCTTTTTTTATTTTCCCTTCCCTTTAGTGGTGAGACCTTTTCAGGGAATCACTCTTACCAGTTTTACAGGGTTGTCTATTGACATGCCACGCAGCACACTTTCAGTAAAAGTTTCCAGCAGCACCCTTAGTAGTTAGTCTGCCCAACGAGCAGTTTAGAATGTCAAAGTTTTAAGGATCTGGTACTTAGTCTCTGTGATAGCTTAACTCTTCCGTCAATATCTCCACTCTCTCTGGTAGGTCCCTAACCTACTTATCTCTTGCAGTTAGTGCTAATTTTTTATGAGTCATTTTCTCTTTTCTTTTAAGCATGGTATTGATATCAGAGTACCTTTAAAAGATGTATTTGAGGATGATATTGGTTCTCCATGCTGAGGTTTAGTTTCTTGCTTTAATGTGCAGCTGATCTCTTTGGTTTAGATCATTTGTATGGCTATCAATTAAACTGAGTTCTTCTGCTTTGGCTTCCTATGTTGCATTTTGTTGATTTAGGAAAAGAGAGAAAGAAAGAGAGAAAGAGAGAGAGAGAAAGTGCACAGAGTAGAAGGACACTATGAATGCAATAATTGAAGAATTGATATAAGGGATTGTGAAGAACATTGACAAAGAATAATAAAGATGTAATAAATCTTCAGTATGATTCTTTAAAAGATTTATATTGATGCATATAAACCCAAGTGTATGACAGCACAGATTTACTTCTGTCAATGCAAATAATATCTTCTCAGTTCTGTATTAAAATCAGGTTTTAAGGGGAATCACAGGTTGTCACTTTGTTGATGATTTAAGTGTTTGAAAAAAGGCAGCAAGATTTAGGGACTTGTGGTTTCTGTATAGAACTCTGCCTCTGCAAATCCAGAAATCCGAGACATAGTGGATGGCTTTTTGTCATTACTTTACTTCATTTTCTGTTTTACTAATTTGTTTATATAATTTTTAGTTATCTGAAGAGGATTCTTAATGAAGTTTAAGATTTAGACTTAAAAGTAGATTTAGGAAAAACTGTTTTCAATGATTTTGACTTGTAACTCTTCATATTGTCAGAAATAAGAAAGGTTTGCTTTATTTTCTAGTCATAAAGGTAGGAATGGTCTTACTAATGTTGATATTCATGATTTTTGTGTTGATAATGCTAGCACTGGAAATTATAGTAAAAGTAATGATAATTATACGGTTTCCTCATAAAGTAATCATTTTTAAATGGTGTTTTGTACATTGATAATATGATCTTAAACTTCAGTAACACATTAGATTTTCTCAAAATCAATTTATGTAACAACATATGTTTGTTTCTCTGTTAATCTTTTGGTAAGTTTGGAAATTAATGAACATTTTTATGCATATGTGTGTCTGTGTGTATGTGTATGTGTGTGTGTATGTGTATGTGTGTGTGTGTCTGTGTGTGTTTGTATGTGTGTGTGAGAGAGAGAGAGAGAGAGAAAATGAAAGAGAGGAAAGAGAAACAAACGGACACAGACAAGAGAGAGAGGGAGAGAGAGAGAGAGAATATTAATGGATGAGACAGAAAGTCATAGCCATAGCTTGTCTGCGCCCTAAAATCCAGCAGCCTATCTTCCCTATGGTTGCAGAGACAAGAGAGAGAGATAGGGAAAGAGAGCGAGATAGGGAGAGAGAGCAAGATAGAGAGAGAGAGAGAGAGTGAGCGAGAGAGGGTGTGAGAGAGCGAGCGAGAAGAGTCAGAGAGTGACTGAGGGAGGGAGAGCGAGATAGAGAGATAGGGAGAGAGAGCGAGAGAGAGAGAGAGAGAGAGGAGAGTGAGAGAGCAAGCGAAGAGAGAGAGAGAGAGAGAGAGCGAGTGAGAGAGCAAGCGAGAGAGCGATAGAGAGAGAGAGAGCGAGATAGGGAGAGAGAGCGAGATAGGGAGAGAGAGCGAGATAGAGAGAGAAAGCGAGATAGAGAGAGAAAGAGTGAGATAGAGAGATAGAGAGAGAGAGTGAGATAGAGAGAGATAGAGAGAGAGAGAGAGATGAGAGAGAGAGATAGAGAGAGAGAGAGATAGAGAGATAGAGAGAGAGAGAGTGAGATAGAGAGAGAGAGTGAGATAGAGAGATGAGAGAGAGAGAGAGAGAGATAGAGAGATAGAGAGAGAGAGGAGAGAGAGAGAGAGATAGAGAGATAGAGAGAGAGAGTGAGAGTGAGAGAGAGAGAGAGTGAGATAGAGAGAGAGAGAGAGTAGAGAGAGGAGAGAGAGAGAGAGAGAGAGAGAAGAGTGAGATAGAGAGAGAGAGGAGAGAGAGAGAGAGGAGAGAGAGAGATAGAGAGAGAGAGAGAGAGTGAGATAGAGAGAGAGAGAGAGAGAGAGAGAGAGAGAGAGAGAGAGAGAGAGAGAGAGAGTGAGATAGAGAGAGAGAGAGAGAGGAGAGAGAGAGAGAGTGAGATAGAGAGAGATAGAGAGAGAGAGAGAGAGAGAGAGAGAGAGAGTGAGATAGAGAGAGAGAGAGAGAGAGAGAGAGAGAGAGAGTGAGAGAGAGTAGAGAGAGAGAGAGATAGAGAGAGAGAGAGAGGAGATAGAGAGAGAGAGAGAGAGTGAGAGAGAGAGAGAGAGAGATAGAGAGAGATAGAGAGAGAGAGAGAGAGAGAGGAGATAGAGAGAGAGAGTGAGATTAGAGAGATAGAGAGAGAGAGTGAGAGATAGAGAGAATAGAGAGAGAGAGTGAGATAGAGAGATAGAGAGAGAGTGAGATAGAGAGATAGAGAGAGAGTGAGTGAGATAGAGAGAGATGGTGAGATAGAGAGAGGAGAGTGAGATAGAGAGAGAGGAGTGAAGATATAGAGAGGAGGAGGAGTTGAGATTAGGAGGAGAGAGAGTGAGATTAGTTAGAGGAGAGATTTTAGAGAGAGATAGAGGAGAGATAGAGAAAGATAGAGGAGAGGGACGAGAGAGAGAGGAGAGAGAGAGAGGAAAGGAGGAGATAGAGAAGAGGAAGAGAGAGGAGACGGAGAGAGAGAGAGGAGAGGAAGAGCATGAGAGAAGGAGAGAAGAATGAGTGAAAGAATGAAGAGGAGAATGAGAGTAGAGTGAGGATAAAGTATAGAGTAGAGAGAGTGAGATAGAGCGATCAATGAGGAGATTGAGGAGGAGAGAGGTCGAGAATAGAAGGAGGAGTTTAGAAGAGGAGGTGAGAATAAGGATGAGAGAGAGAGGTGAGATAGAGGGAAGCTAGAGAGAGGAGAGTGAGATTAGAGTGAGAGAGTAAGAGCGGGTAGGAGAGTTAGGAGATAGGAGAGAGAGAGGTAGAGAGAGTTGGGCAGATGATATAGAGAGTATAGGAGGGGAGAGAGGTGAGAGTGTTACTTAGGAAGAAGGAGAGTGAGAGATGAAGAAGGAGAATAAGAAGAGAGAGAGAATGGTGGATAGCTGATAAGAAGAGAGAGAGAAGAGAGGAGGGAGAGGTGAGAAAAATGTGATAGAAAAAAGGATAGAGCGAGAGGAGAGTAGAATGAGGAGGTGAGGGAAATTACAGGAGTAGAGGACGAATATAGATAGTACGTTATGATGAGATAAGAAAGAGAGGGAGAAGGAGTAGAGAGAGAGAAGATA